ATGAGAGCAGTCTGTAGAAATGCCCTGAATAGCACATTACTAAATGGGTAGAGGGGGAATGATAAACTCTCAGCCCAGGCGATTGGCAAAGTGGTTTACCTGAAGTTGGGTTAGGAACAATGGGGGTAGGGATTGAGGGGAGGGGAGTTCGACAAGAGTTTAGAGCGGGGAGGGTGTGGGAGGTAGAGCGTTGAGAGCACTGGGGTTGAAAAACTGGGGTTGTGAACAATAGGTTGGGCAGGGAGATTAAGAGGAGTATGGTGTTTGTTTGTTTGTTGTTTAACACCACTCTAAGCAATATTCCAGCAAGATGTTGGTACATAAATAACCAAGACTGGGCCAGACAATCCAGTGATCGACATCATGAGCATCAGTATATGTGACTGGAACACAAAGACACGCATCAACGAGCCTGACCACCCGAACCTGTTATTCAATTCTTGCGACAAGCATGTGTTCTGAAGACCAATTCTAACCTGGAACTTTGTGGATGCTAATGACGTTGGGAGAAGTAGAGTTCAATACAGGGATTTCAAACCAATGCAACAAGACCTGCTTCTTTAAAGTTCATATGTAATATATAATTATGGGATTATTAATGTACCTGAAGGATGGCATCATGTTAGATAACTTCAAAGTTTATTATCTGTTGCATGTTCTTATAAACTCATACAATTCCAAATAGCATGGCACTATGTAAATACACCGCTCAATTCTCGTAACCCCAGCCACTTGTAGACATAGACCCACCACAGATATGTTAGGTGTTTATTTTGTAGTCATGGTAATTAGCTTGTCAGCCCATAAAGGTTCCAGAAAAATGAAGCATCGTTGATGAGAACTATTTGGCGTAAATGAATGCTGGAAAAAGAAGGCTGCTCTGGAACTCACTCAAGAGTTTAAGAGATTTTTTTCCCCACTACTCTAATTCTGTAGATGAAAGTGTTTCACCTGTTCAACCCCAAAACAGAATGTTCCACGAATAGAAAGTCGTCAGCCAAGCTGGCTTAACTGTTACAGCAGACTGGATTGTATTAGTAAATGAAAGAGAATGGTTCATTTGGAACTGATTGACATAACCAGCCCTCCGACTGAGATGAGAGTGTGTCATGGAACACTGCCTGTAACATGTAACAGACTGGGATCCTGCTTCCACCATAGGAGGTGCAGGTGTGCATATGCTGCAGATCCAGTTTAGTTCTCTCCACCTTCTCCACAGGGCTTCAAATTGTACAAGATAAAAGAAACACATGAAAGGCATCTCTGTCTCTATCCTAACCTCGTTTGTTGCTGTGAGCCTGTTTCTTTACCACACTCCTAATCTGTTTGTCATCTTCAGGATCTCAGAGGAACTTGTAATTTGATCATTGAAACTTGTTTGAAACTGATGCCATCTTTGGTTTGAAGCTGTGTAACAGGAGTTGTGCATCAGACAGTTTTACCACAAGAAGCTGGCGGAGTATATGGGTATCTCTCTGGTGTATGGGTATCTCTCGGCATGGACGGCACACAACATGGAGCAGGATGAGACATGGTGTACCGCTTCGCATTTTCAGGGATAGAAATACTTTTTTTTTCAAAGTAATTTTTTAAATGTCCCTTTCAGAAATCAAGTGTGCCCACATGTTTTTAGAATGAATGACTGTAGCAATGACGATAATCATTTGAAATTTATTGTATAAACTTCATAAATTGCCAAAAATAAAATACTTTTAGTACTTAAAAGGAAAATTATTTTGACTAGTGATTTTTTTTTTTTCCTCCTGCCTTTAAGTTTTCTGTAGAAAAAAATCTGTAAAACAAGAAATAAAATAGGTCTGGCTTAAACAACAAATGTAACCTGTTTTCTGTTATCACTGATATGTCTTCTGTTTTAAGATGGCTTTCTTATGCTTCATTTGTTCTGCTTTCCCAACACCTTTAATAGCTAAGAATGTTGCGACAGATTCACTTGTTCAATATATCTAGCATACACAATTTCCTCTTCAATAAAAGAACTATCAGTTCTCCCATCACTCTAAATGGAAAAACAACCAGATTTCTTTACATCCCCCATCATAATTCCAGTGATTTCCTGGGCTGTAAAGTCAATAAATGTCTTTGCTTGTTTGTCATATGCATAAGTGTTTTGTTTTGGGGATTAAATGACTAAAGGTGAATTATGTCTCTAAAAAATTAGGCATGCCATAATGAGAACAATGAGAACATTTTTTCCGTGCCATTTCAATATTTACCATGCCATGGCACGCTAATATATGGGATATTTCGAACCCTGATTTTGATATGGAGATTTTTATTTTATTTACTTTGAAAGCATTATGAGAATTTAAAATGTGTAAAACTATTTTAACCAATTTTCATTTATATTTAAACATTTTTCACACACAAAGCTTGTCCAGTCTGACATGTGGTCTCACTTGCACAAACATCAATGCCAATGAAAGCCGATTCTATGAGACACGTTTCAAAAATAGCAGTGAAGATATTGAAAGTTCAAAGTGATTTTGTTCACACAATCTATCATGGGAAATTCTCCATTACACAACGAATATATTGACTATGAAATCTCACTACTGGTGCAAGTCTGATGTTTTCAAGGTTAATCCATACTGACATGGTGAAGGAAGAGTGGCATTGAACTGAAAAATTGGTCCTTTGTAGCACAATGTAAGTCAGGAGTTTGGAATGGAGGAAGTCTGAATCTGACACATTCTGCTTGATGGTAAACTTGCTAAGTTTGAGACTATTCTTTATTTCTCCATTATTTGAAAATCCAAAGTACTTAAATAACATTTTCAATATTCTGCTACTGTTGATCAGGGAGATATGTAAATTATATAGCTTTTAATGAAAAATAGGAATATTCATTTCAAAAGTTGACTAATGGATATGTTGATATACACGATCCCAAGTGACCATCCTCTTATATGACAGGCATGACCTCTGGCAAACTTTTGGTCAAAAGGACCTGTTACCTTAGTTGTAAGCAGAATTACTTCTGTGGGAGAAGTTAGGTACAAATGTCTGAAATGGAATTGTTTTAACAGAGCCCTGCCAAAAACTATTTCGATGCACTCATTAAAATGTCTGATCCTGCATCCTCCTTATATACTAGTATATAAGTTGACTGAAGCTTTATCTTTACACAAACACATTAAAGAATACACGTACATAAATAGTCAGAAAGACATTGTATAGACTAATGCTTAGTCTCTGAATATATACATAATTTTGATTGTAACAAATTAACCTATTTAAATTGAAAAGGAGCCCCAGGGAGACCAGAGATTCTGGTGAAATCTAGACTTGCTAATTTAGGGCTTTAGTATTGCAGGGAGGGCTAGGCTGTAGGGTAAATAATATGGTTCAGGGATTGTGAGACAGACTAGACATTGTATTGCAACCATGGATATTTATGTCGGCATCATTGTGCAATGTATCATGTGACCAATCATGGCTCTATGTCATCCTGTGATACCTGTGGCCCACTCAAGATCCTCCTGACTCAAGGTTTGGAGTTACCGATCCTGTCTATCTTCCAGGATTCATTTGGAGGTGATAGAACATTGTATTTATCTATGTTCCATATTCAAGAAGAAAGCACTTATTAGTACACACTCATATTCTGATACACTGAGTTGTTTTACTTGAAATTTGTGGTATGTGACCTAACAAACAAGTCTTTACCATAAATCAAGTGATTCTCATAAAAACACTTCTTAAAATAGGAAGGTATGTGAGCTCAGGTAACAGTTGTGTTGCTCTGTGATTGTCTGGCCACCTGCTGCTGAAGCTGCTGCAGGTGCTTGTTCCATGCCCAGCTGACTGATGCTGAGACAGGGGATGTAGGAAGGAGCTGTGTTGGAGAAGGAGCTGCAGTGATGTTTGCTGTCACGGTGGTATTTTACAAATGTAGGACTGGAGATTTCAGGTTACAGTCAGCAGGGTTGTTTTTAGCGTGAGTAATGAGAGAGGGGAAGATAGACGAGCTGATTGTACAAGATATGTCTACACACCAACTGCAGTGGTTTTACACTTTTTGGCAAATCTATTCCGGTCCGTCTTTTTGTGTTGTTTCAAAAGCACATGAACTGATCTAGATGTTCTGATTTTATGGGCTGTGATGTCGGTAGATAGGTGGTTTGCATTTTACGTGATACTCAAGGCTTGATTACCTCCCTTGGTGCAATTTAAGAAGTGGGTACCTTTTCTCGTTACCATTTCTAAAAGTGATATCAATGGGTATCATCAAAGTATATTGCTGTTGAGAATTATTAACCGTATCATTTCAGTAATCCTTTGTCATGAAAAGATTCTGTCACTGCTTGTACACAGACAAAAGTTGTCTAATGCGGACTGCTTTACAATCCGGACAAATGAGTCAGCCCCAGGCCAGTCAGTCATAGACAGATTCCACTGTATATAGTTTGAAGTTTTCCAGCCTTGGCAAAGTGGTCTTGATGCTATGGACATACCTTTGCTAGAATATTGGACTCAAAAGGTCACAGATGCATAACATCATAATAGAATGACCAGATGATACTGTCCAAGCTGACCAGGCTGACCTGTCTGTTCAAGGTGCACTAGGCCATCCTGGGAACATTGATTAAATATTGACAGCCATGTGATCTTATTTTGGGATGGAAAGGAACTGGACACAACACATGAACATCTCATGGTTTGTTTGAACTGGTTACTAAAATAAAACATTGTTTAATCCAAATGTATCCAGTGAAAATGTCCAGAGTAAATATTTCCTGGTAAAATAAGAGGGTGCATGAGTTGGTTTTAATAGAGCTTTGAACGATATACCGGTCACTTCATGGCGTGGTAGCTCCGTGTTGGAAGAATGTCTTGATGCACTTCTCTGTCCAAGGGATACACTTTTGCTCAGTGACTTGCCTCCCCTGAATGACTGAGTCATGCATCATCCTCTGGATTAAATGAATCATTGGTCCAGAGTTATGTCCTTTGGTACAAGTATTCTTCTTCTGTTTCAGATGGCACAGGAAGTGAACATCCTGCCTCGATCTCCAGAATATGTCAACCCTTTCAAGACAGTCGACCCGAAGGTACGGTCAGGGTCATTCATGGCATACTTGAGATAGGTTACACCTGAGGAGGTTCCAGGTGACTGTAGGTTCCCTTGCACCTGTCTTGGTGGTGGAGGGTACTGAGTAGGTGTTAGGCTTAGTGACTTGATGTCAGGTTTGAGTCTGCTCAGTGTACCAAAGGTGGTCTATCTGGTCCAGCCCTGATTTGTTGTCATATCATGGAATATTGTCATTAAACAACAAGCAACCTAAAGATGGAGACAGTCAGGCCATGTTGGATGGTGTGAAGCTTGCGGCAGCACAGCTAGCACAAACATTGTCACAATTTGTTATATTTCATGTTTCCATTTAACAACCCACATGACAAGTGCAGTGACTTGTGGTGACTGTAGAGTTTTGGTACTGTCTAATAACATCAGTACCAGAGATGATGGAAGTGGATACAGAGTAAGGATATAATTTACAAATGTCCTCAAATGACTAATCTGTCTGTATCTGAAACATTCACCTATATCTGTTTCAGGAGCAGAAGAAATTTACAGAAGCAATGAAAAAGCAATTGAAGCCCAAAAAGAAGAAAAAGATTGCTCGGGGCCCTCGTATGTCTCACACGGAGCTGTAGGGCATGCACTGCGGGGAGCTTGGGCCAGCCAATCAAAACCAAGCAGGCAAAGAAGCCCCACCTCCATTTGTTATCCTGAAACAAGGATTTTGATGTGAAGATTTGTGGAAGATGTTTTTCTTTGGTGCTTGATGAGTGAAAGTCACTGAACAGTGAAGTCTTGATCATTAATCGGTTGTAATATTAACTTTTTTGGGGTGATAACAAAAAATGGTGTGGATATCACGTATACATCAATGAAATAATATTGGTGCTGACAAGTGGCTTGTTATCTACTGATTGCTATTATCAACAACAAGTTCTATAAAGCCAGTCAAATAAATAGGTATATTTCCCGTGTCAGTCCACTACCACTAAATGCCAGCAGCTGCCTACCACAGGGTATCATGTGTCAGCGTGACAGAAACAATCACTGACAGGGACCGGTCATATATTCAGGTCAAGTCACAGGTCCAGGTGCACTAAAGTACTCAAAATAATGACACCTCCCTAATATTTGTCATAAATTTGGAAGACCTCCTCACGTCCATGTACAAAAACTCTGTAAAGACATAATGAAAAAAGCAACACTTTATATTTTGTTATAAACAGTCCAATATATCATGATCCACTATAAATATGTGTAATATAAACTGTATATCCCCCCAAGAGACTCTGATTTTCTGTTCTTCTACCTCCACACCTCAATACGTGACCTGTCCCTTATTATCTGGTAATGATGCCCATATGAATAATTTAGACTATAAACTGTCACACATAAGAGTGACATGGAATTCACCTTCCTCAACGCTTGGCTTTCCACATTATTTCACTGACAGTATAGGTATAGATACCTCAGAGTTACTGGCTGCCAGGCTTGCAGGTGCTTGTTGTACCTTGACAATCTCCAACTTATGGTCTATACATGACCCTCCCATTGCATGTTTATGATGGTGTCAGACTGTTGTGTGGAGGGATGTCCAGCTGTTGTGGTCAGCTCAGATTCTACATTGTGGCATAATATTCTGTAGTTGCACGCCACTGTTCAATACTGTTTTGTCAAGGGTAGTTTCAGAGGAAAAGTTCCGATATCTCGAGTCTCCTCACACCAAATTATGTATGAGTACAGGATTCTAGGAAGCCTTTTGACCTCTTCTTTGATCTTTAAGGCAAATGGAAAGACTAAAATAAAGAGATGAATGGCATTGCCTAACCTTCAGATTAATTTTGCGGATAGTGTTTCACAGGGGAATGTTGATGCGATTAATGAGGTTGCCTGTGGCGAGATAGAGTTAGTGAGTATCCTATTGTTATCTTGTTATTGTTATACTTCACTTCCGACCTCATTGTCCTTGTATTTACTCCAAGTAGTTTATCTCTTTTATAGCAATGTTCTGTATTTTATTCCTTACATTTGTCTGCAACTTCATAAATTGACTGTGACATGTTGACTTGTTAACTGTGTGTCTGTGACATGTTGACTTGTTAGCGGTGAGTCTGTGACAAGATGACTTGTTAACTGTGTGTCTGTGACATGTTGACTTGTTAGATGTGAGTCTGTGACATGTTGACTTGTTAGCTGTATCTGGGACATGTTGACTTGTTAGCTGTGTGTGTGACATGTTGACTTGTTAGCTGTGTGTCTGTGACATGTTGACTTCTTAGCTGTGTGTCTGTGACATGTTGACTTGTCAGCTGTGTGTCTGTGACATGTTGACTTGTCAGCTGTGTGTCTGTGACATGTTGACTTGTTAGCTGTGTGTCTGTGACATGTTGACTTGTTAGCTGTGAGTCTGTGACATGTTGACTTGTCAGCTGTGAGTCTGTGACACGTTGACTTGTTAGCTGTGTGTCTGTGACATGTTAACTTGTTAACTGTGAGTCTGTGACTTGTTTGCTGTTAGCTGTGACATCTTGTTGTTAGCTGTGTGTCCGTCCACATGTTGACTTGTTAGCTGTGTGTCTGTGACATGTTGACTTGTTAGCTGTGTGTCTGTGACATGTTGACTTGTCAGCTGTGTGTCTGTGACATGTTGACTTGTTAGCTGTGTGTCTGTGACATGTTTGACTTGTCAGCTGTGTGTCTGTGACATGTTGACTTGTTAGCTGTGAGTCTGTGACACGTTTGACTTGTCAGCTGTGTGTCTGTGACATGTTGACTTGTTAGCTGTGTGTCTGTGACATGTTGACTTGTTAACTGTGAGTCTGTGACTTGTTAGCTGTGAGTGTGACATGTTGACTTGTCGGCTGTGTGTCTGACATGTTGACTTGTTAGCTGTGTGTCTGTGACATGTTGACTTGTCAGCTGTGTGTCTGTGACATATTGACTTGTTAGCTGTGAGTCTGTGACATGTTGATTTGTTATTTGTGTGTCTGTGACAAGTTTACTTGTTAGCTGTGAGTCTGTGACATGTTGACCTTTTAACTGTGTGTCTGACATGTTGACTTGTTAACTGTGAGTCTGTTATATGTTCTGCTTGCTTTGTCTTGTTAACATTTTGAGAGGTTGATCTCATTCACACACACCGTAAATGTCCCTTGTCAGTTATTCTTTAGGTGGAATGGCATACTGGTTTGAGTACTGGCCTATCACAGGGTTGTGTCTGTACAAGGCTACAATGTGTCAGCCCCATTCTTGGTGTTCCCAGAAGTGATATGGCTGTAATTATGATAAAGGAATTGGAAGGATAAAACATCACTCACTTTCTGGATTGTCTCTGTGACGTCTACAACCTGGCACTTTGGTGTCATCCTCACCATGTTCAGATACATGTGGTTTTCATTATTCAAAACAAACTTGGATATATCATACTGACTTTCTCAACTTGCATTGTAAAGACCTGAGATAATAATTCATTAGTTGGAGCTAACTATAAACACTTGCAATGTTACATGACATAAAATATAATTTATGCTTTTTTTCAAATGACCTTGAAATTCATTTAGCATCAAATAGCAAAGTTTTCCTTTTTTCTCCAATCAACAGAGAGATTATTTATTAGTGGTGAAATATGTGCCAAATATGTTTTGTGATTTGTTTGCCCTGAATATTTCAAATTTGTAGTTTGGTATGTAGTTGAATGATGCTGAGTGAAATGTAGACTTCTGTTTTATGTACTGCTGTGAGAGTATTGTTATCATTGATAAGGGTGATTCAGGTCTCCGACAGCTGGCACTTTGGTGAAACAAATGGTCATGGGTATGTTGATGACAAACCCACAAACATGAAGGGTGTGAATTGTGTGTTTTTTTGTCGGAGTTGTGGCTACACCTGTCTAGTTACCTGCAATCTATGCACATCTTTACCATCTTCATATCTATGCACAAATTTGTTGTTTTGTTTTATTCAGTCAGACCAGTTTATCTCCTGTTTTACTAATTATTTTAGTAGCATGGAAAATATGATAAATATAACTTCTGTAAATTTGAGTTAAACTTTCCAGACAAACTTTGACGATTTTTAAATTAACCATTTCTCTTTTCTTTATTCATCTAAGCTTGGGTAGATTTCTGTAAAACAAGACAATAATGGACGTGTTATGGTACCATGATACACAGCTTATAATGTGATGTTTCATTATGCAATAGCACCTTATATAGCCCAGGTATACAGTATTGCTGTACTGAGTACTGGAATCTTAGTACTTCCTGTTTGGATTTGACATATAAATCAACTTCCCATAGAAAACCCTACAATCTTCAATCTTGATGAACCATGTTTGTATAGAATATGTATAGAATCCATGTATTGTGGATATTTCAATTTTCATGTTTTTATCATGTTTCTAGAAACACATATTGCTTGGTAGAAAGCCAGGGAATGAGCATGCTTGGTGATTAGTTGGATTAGAATAGATTAGAGAACTAGTGGTAACACAAACAAGGCTGTCATACACTGATTTGTAGCCTCATTATTGATGACATTCAGGTATTTGAAACAAATTCAGTTGTCTGTATGTCTTTTAAGATTAGGTTTAACACATTGAATTGATTTGAATGTTTACACACATTTTGCTCAGATTGTTGCAAGAGGCACAGGCAAACTGTAGCGCAAATAGAGTTGCGCAACAGAGAGAACACTGACTAGTCTTTTTATCGCCTATAGAAAGACTGGTAATGTTTCTCTCTGTTGCGCAACCCTATTTGCGCTACAGTTTGCCTGTGCAAGAGGGTTCTGGTCACAATATTTAGTTTCTTTGAAAATAGGAATATTGTCTTTGAAATGTGAACTTCGCAAGATGTGTGTGCAATGAGTTTGTTAATACTGCAGATCAACATACTTCAAGTGACCATGACCCAGTTTCACACAAGGATCATCGCGGCATAGTTGTTGTAGATACATGTGACACTGTTTGTGTTAAGACAGTCCTAGTCTATATCTGGCTTACAAAGGAGCATTCACCAGGTCTTGATCTCATGACTGTTGTTTAATTAGCTTCTGAATAATTGTAGTGTTGTTACATGTCGATAGGGCTGTAAGGGAAATCGTTATATATACTTGAGATGTGAGAGAGAGTTGATGTGATTGTCAGCTGAGGTGGATTCTAGTCCGATTGTGATCTAGTAAAGGTGTACTTTGAATGCTAGCTCAATACTGCTACAAGAAGGTGACTGATTGTAATACTGATGTCCAACATATCAACACCAGAATGAATGGAACTCCAATTGTCTGTATACTCGTGTATTAACAAGCGTTATTTTGATACATCTGTAACATATACCATTAACAACGAACCATGTATGTATATAACTATATATAACCAGGCTTGGAGACGCAGGTGCTTGTATCTATACCTTTATCCACAGGGTCTTATAATGCAATAGGCTGGCATCAAGGTATACATTGTCACTGACGGGTTATTAGCACGTCCATCATGCCTTGATGCCAGTATTTGGCATTACAAGCTCTTGTGTCTGAATTTATTGTGCTTGAAATCAAGACATGAAGCGATAATGGTTGTTGAAGAGTGCTATTGATGTGTATTGATGTGAATCCAATCTTATTTCTTTTTTAAACATTCATTTTTGCCAAACAAATATGAAGAAAGTAACCTCTTTCAAATGATAAAATGATCCTGCAGTTTGTTTCTTGTATTGCTTGTTTTGACTAACATTTTGTAACAACAATCTGATCACATCTTGATTTATATACATACAATATAATACATCTTATAAAAGCAATATATACACTCTGATCGTGTTGTCTTTCTTGAGTGTGCATTTAGAATGTCATGTACACGAAAGACGTGCAGTAATGGTGGTGACTGAGTGAACCGAGTCCCATGGTGATGCCATGTTTTTCATCCTGCCGCTAGTGTACAATGTTGTGGCTACATTGACCCAGTGCAAGAGGTTTCTGCTGGACGTAGCTCAGGCTTCTTCCGATAGAATGTTGGAGCTACACTGGATTTAGAGTGAGTGATTGAGTTGATTTTTACGCCGCACTCAGCAGTATTCCAGCTATATGGCGGCGGTCTGTAAATAATCGAGTCTGGACCAGACAATCCAGTGATCAACAGCATGAACATCGATCTGCGCAATTGGGAACCGATGACATGTGTCAACAAAGTCAGCGAGCCTGACCACCCGACCCCGTTAGTCGCCTCTTACGACAAGCATGGGTTACTGAAGATCAATATTCTAACCCGGACCTTCACGGGTTCTGGATTTAGAGACAAAGTGACTAAACGTTATCACCAATATTTGTATCTGTTATATGGTCTCTGCCCCGACCTCCTCTGCTGAACTAGCCTAACCCGCAGGTTCTGCCGTTTCTTCCTTTCGTTTAATACCACAGGAAAAGTGTTATCGCAGATGGATGGTGATAAATTGTCATGGACTCTCGGACATTTTGTGATTTGAAAACACCATTTGTTTGAGTGTCAGAGAAGTTCATTAATACGTGTACATGTATCACCTAGGCCGTAAACAGAGTCCAAACAGATCTGTTCCAGGTAGTCCTTACAGAGGATGTATATTCTGGTCGAGCTTCAGGACTATCATATCTGGTGAGCGTCGGTACAAATACGGTCACCAATAATAAAGTTGATTTGTACGTTGTATATGTGTTAAAAAACGCACATTTCTTGCTGTTTACACTCTAACGTTGACATTTCATATTTACAGGTAAATAACAACCCTACAATCATCAATGAAGGCCAGGAATCCTGTGGTATAGCTGCGTATCCACAACAGTGATATGTTTCTTGACCACCCCCCGGCAGTAAATCTCGGCCACACAAGGAGGGCGAGGGTTCCTGTACACCGTGGACATCGCTGTATGGTGTTACCCCGATGTGTTTACCCCAGACCCGAGCCAGACAGATGGTGGAACTGGAACACGGCTGGGTGAGGTGATGACTAGCTCTGTGTTGGGATATCTGCTGCACCGTGAATACCCAGTCCGCTAACACAACAAGCTACATGGTATATTTGTGTAGACTCTGTGGGGATCATGCGTAACCTATCTTCTTGAAGGTTTGGTACTGTAGTGCATTCTAGACGGCTCCCTTACCAGTGCCTCATCTGCCCGTACGCAGGGCTTATATACCCACAACCTGCTGTTTGCAAGCTTAAAACATCGCAATCCGTGAACACCCAGGGGCCATGGTTAGAACCAATGCTTGTCGTATGAATTGATATTGCATAGGCGCATGCCATCGTGTCCCAACTGAAATCATTGAATTTTCTGGTCCAGGCTCGACTATTTGTACACGACCGTCATGTAGCTGGATTATTGCAGTCTAAAGTTACTGTAAACAATAAACAAACAAAACAACAGGAACAACGAGTCTAACGTAAGTGTCTGGAATATTGACATTTATGAACAATTATATACCAGAAAGGACCAGCCAGATCTATTAATTCCAGATTGCTGAAATGGGGATGAGTATGGGCAGCTACCCATAAGATAGGGATGAAGGTGAATGTTTATTCATTATATGGTCTGTGGAAGAGAAACAGGAACAACGTGATTCTTTCACATTCTGTGGACGAACGGTATAACACGTTTTATGCTACAAAATATGTTTGTATATAATTTGAATCGTATTGAGAATTGGTGGATGTCAAGTTCTGTCTTGTGGAACATGACGTTTCGGACTATATTCTTACTCCATCATAGGTGTATGAAAGCTAGGAAGCAGATATTTAAATATGTACGTGTAAAACGTATGATTATCAACTGTTTTCCCATGTACATATAAGCTATCTGCTTACTTTAATGTGAGACAAGTACCATCAAAATGGTGGGGTTGTAGTGAAACTTGGGTGTGGCAGGACTAAAAAACCGCCCTAGACAAGAAATACAATAAATACACTTCGCAACAGATGCAAATCTGAATTCGAACAATAGCAGGAAGGCGCACTTCAACATCTACCATTACAATCCAGGTCTCTGCAGCCTGCCTGGGGCAATACCATAGGCGGCAAACACTGGGGTGGGCTGTGCAACGTTACTGACGAATCAAGGTTTTGCTTCCGAATCACTATGGGTGGTGGGGTTATGGTTTGGATGGTCATGGTCATGGATCAGCTCCGACGATAGTCCACAAGGCGTATAGAGGCGTAGGAATGGATCAGTGAAACTCGCGTATTTTCTGACCGTCACTCATAATTAAATTCATTCAAATAATTTAGGAATTATAAAAGGAAATCACCTGTATTCCTTCTTTGCAATCCTTTTGGGTTTTGTCATGAATTAACACCGTCAGTGAAAACAACGTCTTTGGCTGGCGAGACTTCCGCAAGATATTTCGTGTCTCCGAGTCTGTTTGACATGCAGACTGAGAAGTAGCCTTGCTCCAAGCCTGTACTGAATTCTAAGCCCATATATGTATAGTAATTCTATTCTTTAAAGAGGCACGTCTAGTTAAGCGGACAGTCCAAGGACGTGAGTCTGTTATTTATAATTTTGAAATTTTCATATAAACTATTATTTAATACTTTAGAGACTTGTGCAAGTCTAATTGAGAAGAAACCCGTTTACATATCAAACTTATCAAGGATTATTTTCTTGACATCGACTTCTGTACCACTACAGGAGACGTCTACCTTCTGACGTCTACCTTCTGTACCACTACAGGAGACGTCTACCTTCTGTACCACTACAGGAGACGTCTACCTTCTGTACCACTACAGGAGACGTCTACCTTCTGTACCACTACAGGAGACGTCTACCTTCTGCTGTACCACTACAGGAGACGTCTACCTTCTGACATCGACCACTACAGGAGACGTCTACCTTCTGCCACTCCACCTTCTGTATGTTACAGTTCTACCTTCTGCCATACCTGCTGTTAATCACGTGACTATATGACACGATTCTCCATGTCCATATGTTTCCATATTTCTAAAATTACTAGAATCTCAAAACCAACAATCCAATGAACGTATGCTGCATTCTTATCAAAACTAAAACCGGGGTCAAAAGGTTATCCCTCTTCCAATGGCTCTCATCCAACCGGTTATAATGACAAATTAGTTCACGGATAATTATCAATTAACCGATATAGTTGACATGGCAGACGTGTGTTCGTCTGATATATCACCTTGTAAGTAATTAACATCCGGAGGGTTATCGTATTCTCAACATATAAACATGTACTGTCAAGTAAAACGTGAATCGGAGAGTCCACCATGTTGATAGAGAAGCACGTGACCTATCACATATTGCGCCACCTGGTGTGATCATCACTACTAATGGGGAGATAATGAGCGATGATTTTGAGTGCTGAGGACATGTGTCTCCATGTGGTCAGCGTTCGTCCCCTCCGCCCCTCCTTTATTCCCCGCCCCTTCTCGCTTGTCCACCTCATCCCCTACGCACGCATGCATGTACGCACGCACTTTAAAGTAATGTTAGTTAAAACAGGCTCAAAACAGTTCCTTATTTCAAGATCTGAGAGTACACTACTACTCTGTGGCAATCTAGATTTGAATTGGAGAGACAATATATGAAACTCGCCGGTATCCAACACTTGTCATGAGTCCACCTACTGTGTGCCATGATTTGGCGGGGAGGTGGGGTGCCCTGTGGTGAAGGTGTTCGCTCGACGCGCTGAAGGCCCGGGTTCGATTCCCCACACGGGCACAATACGTGAAGCCCATTTCTGGTGTCCCCCGCCGTGATATTACTGGAATATTGTTAAAAGCAGCGTAAAACTATCCTCACTCACTCATGATGGGGCGTTGCATGTGTTTAATGGTTTGTTTGATCTATCCGATCTCTTCGTTGGAATACTGCAGAATGTGGCGTTAAACAGCATTCACTCACTCTGCCAAAACACTGTGTTTTGTATCTCCAACACAACTGTTTACCAACAGCCAGTGTGGTCTAGGTCGCGGCGTCTTGCGCTCCTTGTTGAGTATCAGTTCTGTGCAGCAAAGTGATTATTCGTAAAAACCAGAGACTGTAAACATATGTTTATAGGGCTTATCTCTTGAATGAATATCTCCTGTATATAAACACGCTGTTGAGGCTTCTATGGATGTTCTTCCGAATTGTGTGGTGTAACGCTGGTATCAGTTCACACTGGAATGTACACACATTACACTGAAACAAATCCAGGCTTTGTTGGAACTGCATCGGGGTTGTTGATAACGCATGGTTGCTTTTTGAGTGTTTGTGTAAATGTTTTGATTGGAATGTGTTTAACAGTTCCCCAAGGACGGGTAGACGGGAATGTGGTAGACAGGTGCTGCATGCTGGGAGTAACTCCATAGACGTGGTGTCTAGACATCACGCAGTCTAGTTGTCGTGTAGCCTAGCATTTAATGTTAGCAATCATACTTCATATAGTACATACTGTATAGAGTTATGCAGTGTAGTTTTCGTGTTACAACAGTGTCTAGTTAAAATCCTCTCTAGTTATCGCACTGCCTAGTTATGCAGTCTAGTTTTCATACTGTCTAGTCAAAGTGTTGTCTAGCTATCACACTGTCTAGTTAGCACGGAGGAAGGAGCTAGTTGTTTGTCAAGTGATAGAGTGACTATCACAGGCTGTTCTGGCCGGACATCCAGAGTGTTAGACTAACGCTTAGTCTCTGAATATTTTATTCTGATATAGAAAGAAACAATATTATTCCTATTAAATTGAAACGGTGGGAGATTCAGAACCTGAGGAAATCTAGACTTGCTTCATTTAGAGCTTTAGCTTTGCAGACAGGGCTTGGAGGTAGGGAAAATACTGTGGTTCAGGGACTGTAAGAGAGACTACCACAGATTCTGTGATTACCCGTGTAGATAGACTCGCTAATATAAGTAGATCATTTCAGAGTGTATAAACTCATTGAAAATCGCACACATCAATTGACTGGAGAGACATTCCAGCTTCACCAGAAACCAAACCCTCAATAAAGAGGTATCAACCAGCTGATCAAACGCTCCAAGAAGGAACTCTACCCGTAACGGTCCTATTAACCGTCTTCTATCGCCGGTACACCTGGCACGGAACATCAGACACGGAACAAACCAGGTTGTGTGTTTTAGTATTTTATTTGGCTAGCCTAAAACTGTCTTCCCGCCTGTACAGCTAATCGCTTAACCCGCCTTGCTGAGCTGCGGCAACGTCACCAGCGTCATCAACGTCAGTAACGTCATCGGCGTGGAATCAAGCTAATGATCTTTCACAATGGAAAAAATGTTGCTTTAATTCAGCATGGAACGCACAATGATCTTGATGTGACGCTTAGGACGTATATGACGTGACGTGACTTGACGTATCGTGACGTTCACCGCCGTCTCGGCAAGCCGGGAGTTAGACTCGCTAGAAGGCACTTACAGCAATGAACATGCAATGACATCCGTCACACCACCGTGCGATCATCATATCTCGGAGCAAGAAGGTAAGTCTCGTTTTGGTTATCGTAATTTCGACTCTGAATTTTAACAATGTTCGGTGATTTATATCATTATAAATACATTCTTATATTGCCCAAAACAATGTTCTAAATATAAGCCATATTTGTCATAACATTAATCAGAGATATAGATGTGTACGGAAATGGACGAAGTTTCCCGAGTATGAGTGATTGTCTATGTACAGAGAATGAGATCTGCGCCATTTTGAAATCTGTTTCACAACTGTGGTTCCTCTTCACCCGTATTGTAAATATCTAAATGAAAAGCTTTAAGTCACAAATGCCATTTAACTGCCATTAATACTGAGGAACCAAACACGTTTACCGTTACACACTGCAGACACCCCACCAACCCTGGTATACAAAAGATGCGATGCGATTATGTTTCCTTGATGTAGCACCGAGAAGGAGGCGGACAAAGCTGAAGGTTTGAGCAAGGGTTTCTCTGTGGCGTTTCTAGTCTAACACTGACGATTAATAAGCGCACTCAATATTCTAAATAATCACGTGTCTTAATTTAATATATAAATAATAATTACAAATATTGAACTGTACTCCATAAGGTTATATATCATCACAGCAGTTTATGCTTCTACTTTATAGCATACATCATGCTCGTGTTTCTGTATTGCACGGCGCACGCATGTGCAACCTGTATTGGTTTGGCGATCAGATACGACTGTAGCACTTATCAACATGACTAGATACTCGCATCATTATGAGCATCATCTGCTTGGCGGACGGTAAACAATAATTAGTACAATATCAATACAATATGTAACCTAGCTACGAGATTATAAAAATACAAAATTAGTTTAATATAAATCAGTAGTTTCATATAAATGCATTAAAATACTTGACGGGTGAGAGCAGAAGGAGCGGCTGAGTTGAAGTCAGTTGATCAGATGCGATGAGCTGATGTACTTTACACGCCAGCGTTCGTTGATGATGGTCACGATTGTTCTAATGTTTGTTGTTACCATGACAACCAAACGTCATATGTCAATTGAGGCACTTTCATACTGGAGCATTAATCTCGGTCATCACACCTGAAACACCGACACAGAGCACTCTTGTTGACGACGTCTCTGTCGAGGTCCATGACGCTGTCTTATTTGACGTGAACATTTGCAGTTGCCGTCGTTCCTGTCAGAACAGAGGCCCACACGCCTGGTTACCACGTCCACGTTACCTCCTCGACCAGTGTTCTCCTAGTATCGACGTCAGCAAGTGCTGGGTGAACTCTCTTATCTTTAATCTCTGACTTTGATGCCACAGTCAGAGCCAAGAGTACAAGACACACTTTACTTTCACAGTACCATTTTCCCCCAACACTCACCAAGTATTACGAGAACACATTGTAGAATAAACCAGTGTAGTGTTATATGTCACACGTTGCTCACACAGTCTCACGTTAAGTCCAAACCAAGTACTAACAATAGTACATTCCTGCCGTGATCCTAGCCAAGACGGAACCCAGTCGCAAACTGGTCGTTCCCTTCTCTGTGAGCGAGCTGCCTTAAAAGAATACGTCATTGTCTTTGGCTTGGATATTACAACGTTCAAAGATTCAAAGATCCAGTCACGTGACAATCGTCAAAAAAGCGTCGTCACTTTAGTCATCACACACGTCACATGACAGACATGTGATCCCCGTGTCACGTGACAACTCATGGCATCTTCTCCTTCTGGTAGGCCTGGTACCAGATCTTGGAGAGACAGATAGCCGAGTGGAACCGGAAGAAGATGTAGAGCGGCACACAAAGATGAAGTATGATGTTCCAACTGAGGATGCCGTAGAAGTCTTGATGGAAGGGGATTACCGTCGTCTTCTTGTTCTCGAACATACCTACAACCCACAACGCCAAGTTGCAGACCAAGGTGAAGGTCACAATGGCGCGACCTGGCTTCCTGTCGATCTGGCTGTCGTTCTCGGAGCACCTGCACAGGCCGTCGAGGATGAAGACGGTCTGCATGGTGCTCTGTATCAGCCCCAGGGTGATGACGACGAGGGAGAGGATGCTGGAGAGACCCTGGGCGCTGACGGTGGACGCCGCGGAGATGAGCATGAAGCTCAAGTAGACGTAAGCGCCCCCTACCGCCACGGCTAGGAGGACCGAATCCAAGGACAGGAAGTAGTTTTCCATGAACTTGAGCTGGGTAAGCCGGATGTGGCCGATGACGATGCAGACCCCGGTGATGCTGAGCAGAGCAAGTTCCATCACAAAGAACACATTGATGGCTGTTTCAGGCACCTTCAGTCGAGCCTCAAACACAAAGAATGTCGCGATGGCGATGAGAGTGACGACGGCGATGAGGAGTCCGGAGAAGAGGCCCTTGTTGGCTTTCTCACAGTCCATGCTGGCGGCGCCGTGAGGAGCCGAGCTGGTCAGGGAGGTGTGACTTGGCCATCGCTGCTTCACCTTCACCCCCACGTGCTGGTACATGCGGTAGATGATGCCGGCGGCGATGATGCTGTACATGATGGTGCAGGGGAAGAGGTAGGGGGATGCTGTCCTGGCCACCGTCTCCTCCTCGTAGCAGCTCCGCGTCAGATAGATTGAGCTGTCTGTACATAAAGAGAGATACATACATAGATATTTGACCGATATCGGTTATAACAGTACATTAAGTTTGGTTTAAGGACACTTTAAACAGTACGTAACTTATAACACCACGTGTCTGCTTCCGAGGAAGCCTGAAGTGATGCAGGTGGGCCTGGTTGTATTAGATACTCTTTTCAAGTCTATCCAATCACTGTTTAAAATTATAAAATTTATTTATTTGTGGATCTGTATATGTGGTTAAAGAATTATGCTGAAAGTTTCAGGTGTTACAAATGACTTACGGTTTTGTCGGACTCTTGCAAAATAGTCTTGCTGTCGGGAATCCTCGGCCGTTTCCGTGACTGCTGTGACAGCCCATACACAGATGTTGGTTGCTAGGAGATGCATCAGCCCAAACCTCACCGCAGGTTTACACTTGTCAATCACTAGCTGAAATACACACACAACTTGTCTTACTGAAATGTACTAAACATAAACTTCATATTGAGTATTGAAGTGATCTCTCCGTGACAAGCCTAGCAGTGTTAGGATGAAGCTGAGCTAGGCATCCATTCCCATGATAGTTGACGTCAAATCACCTAAATGTACTCGCGCTTGATTGACATAGTTTTTGTTTCCTAAATCTCCTCTGACAAACAGTTTATGTTCCAACTGAACAGGAAATATTAAAATAGCATAGCACACCGTGCTGGAATATACAGACCCAGCAGAGACTCAGTGCAGATACTCACGTAAGAAAAAACCCAATGCAGATAAGACCATCTTGGTTCGACGGTAGTTAGACGTTTTAATGCTTGGCTATCACTTTTGAAGTGAGAATGTCTGGTTTTATGAAAGTACATTTAGTTTTTCTCGAAACTGATTTCACTGCCGTAAAACCCAGCGTTTTTACGGCGAAGCTGATGTATTCTATTTATACAGCTTACATACTCGTTAAATACTCAGGGGCGGTGGGGTAGCCTAATGGTTAAAGCGTTGGCTCGTCACGCCGAAGACCCGGGTTCGAATCCCCACATGGGTACAATGTGTGAAGCCCATTTCTGGTGTTCCCCGCCGTGATGTTGCTGGAATATTGCTAAAAGCGGCGTAACACCAAACTCAGTCAGTCAGTCAGTTAAATACTCTAGCTATACGAGTCACCGATTTGTTTGTTGTTTTCCGCCACACTTGCTAATATTGAAGCCATACCACGGCTGTCTTTCCCGACATTCCAGTGATTGATATCAAGAGCATCGATCTGGGTATGGGGGTGCGATGAAGTGCACTCATCAAGTCAGCGAGCCTCACCACCTGATCGGGAGACATCACATTCCAGCGCAGTGATGACATGGTATGATGATCATGTTTTGCCCCTATACCTTCGATCCCCTCACACATTACTAATATTGTCAGAGATGACCGAGTCTGTGTGATCAGCTGTACTAGAAGCTCAGTGGTACTGTTATATACTTAAACACCGTGCATATATGGTGGAAGTGCCTAATGCAATTTGCAGGGAATGAATACCGCTTGCCCACCATAATGTCGATTCAGAATGTTCTCAAGCATCAGTTATTTGGGCGAACGGCATTTCACAGTTGCATAATAGAGGGAAACCTGAACTGCCGAATATCGTATAGGTAAAACGAACGTTAGAAAAGCAACTGCAGATTCGAGCCTAGTCTGTCATACAAATATATTTAAGAAAACCCATGTAAGTCTAGAATATGTAGCAAGTCCAAATTTCCTTTTTATTATATTGTATTTTGTTATTATGGAACTGTTTTTTAAAGTAAAATATGTTCTTTTCAGCGACTGGTTGGAATCAATGGAATCATTAAGGAACACCCAATGTCCCCCTTAAACGAGGAGGTCTGAGGTATACAACTACCTTGTGATTCTTGAAGAGGAAGAATGTCTGGACGAAGGTGAAGATGAGGTGAAGGACGTACACAAGCGTGAAGATCTTACTCTCGCACGTCTCCGTGTTCTCGGTCTCGAAGTAGGAGGAGATGTGGAAGCCGTCAAGGGTGACGCTCCCAATGCTGAACGCTGAAAACACACACTTGATACAGACCACAACGCACAGGAGTCATATAAACAATGATTTTGAAAATGCTGCAGCTGTACTACGAACCATCTCAGCTGCATGTGCACTTAGACTGTCTCCTAGTCTGTCTCACTGTCCCTGAACCGCATTATTTTGCCTTCCATCCAAACCTTACTGCAATGTCCTGAATGAAGCAAGTCTAGATTTCCTCATATTCAGGTTCTGCATCTCCGAGTTCACTGGGGCTCCTTTTCAAGTTAAATGGAGTTTTTTGTTTTATCAAAATTATAGATTTTTTCAGAGATTTAAGAGACTAGGCGTCAGTCTAATTGCCTCGTTACCATGGCTGTTATACAAGTACCTGTTCCTACTGGATACCTGTTATCAATGAATAGACCATAAATGTTATAACACAACACAAACCGGACATATGTTTGACTCAGAATTATGATGGCATCGATGAGGTATACATTGCAAAATAACATGATAATAAAACCAGTTTCGAAAGTTTGACGTATAATTTATGCATATCACAAGTCTATACTCACCTAGAGCCCCGAGTCGGAGGTAGAAGTTGATTCCCTCTCCGACATGCGCAACTTCCCCATCCGCCGGAAGTGCGAGCTGACTGCGCATGGAGGCGTTGCTCGCGGTAGATATTTGATCCAGGGCGTCTTTGCGGGTCTCCTTGTCCAGGATGCTGTCGTCATCGTTGGACCTGCGGGTCGGAGACGGCGACTGATGAATGTTCTCGGTGCTGCGACGGATCACCACCTTGATGTTGTGGTCGAAGAAGTTCTGGCGTACCTTGACGCCCCGGAGGATGCCGATTTGGAGGTACAGGAGGACGATGAGGGAGCCAGCATACAGGTAGACGAGGAACGCCTGGGGAGGTGATGAATGCAGGTGTTAGGGTGATGTATTCGTCATATAACTGAGACATCTTATCAAGGCTCGTGCTGCTAGACAAGTACATTTCCTATGTACCTTTACTTACCCTTTACTCGACTCACACGTCTGTGTCTATAATTTACTCAAAAATCTGTGCCATGGGTATCAACCCAGGTTGAAATCTCCCAACCGTAAAATGGTGAATAAATCACCATCATCATCATCATCATCATCATCATCATCATCAACAACAACAACTAAGAGTTTATATAGCGCAAGAATCCAGTCAGTATAACTGCTCTAAAGCGCTTTGAGAGGATGCATGTCACATGTGTCAACACTGTCCACTCGGTCTAGGCGTAAGTTTTTGAGAAAAGGGGGTTTTGAGATTGGTTTTAAAAGTGGCCAAGTTATTTACAGGTCTCAGTTTAATGGCAGATCATTCCAGAGTCGTGGAGCTGCTCTGGCGGAGGATCGATCTCCATAGATGGTGGTCCTGGCGTGGGGAACAAACAAGACCTTCAGCTTTAAACTTGTCTACGCCAGTAAGATTCAGGTAGTCAGAATATGTCCCCTGGGTTTATACTAATGGACACTATATCTTTATGATGTTATAAGTTTGTAAAAATGTCTAAAATTGTGCGTTATTATTTGAATTCATGGTGGTTGAATATAGATAATGTAAACCACAATTAAACGCTAGGCAGACGTTTCCCCTTTAAACATGTTGTTGGCGTCTCTCAGACAAGATAGATCTACGTTAATGACCCTCCCTGTCAGGACGCGAGGGCTGGACAATATACACACTGGTGACGCTTCATCCGCTTGCCACTGAAGGGAGGCAATCTGCAAGGAATGAAGACCGCTTCCCCACCATAATGTCGATTCAGAATGTTCTCAAGCATCAATTATTTGGGCGAACGGCATTCCACGACTACTGAATCTCGGTGGGGAACATGCCATGCTAAATGGACGGTTCTGTTTATGTGGCCGAATTCCTCGATGTCCAGTGGAGTAAACCACTGCAGTAAACAGCCCATTCCATTGAACGGTCATTGTTTTATGTCGGCCATTGTCGGAATAAGTTCATATCAAGGTCAGTAAGTTAGCAACTTAGGGAGCTATCCCTCTCCCCTTAAACCAGTGATAGGTTCACGCTCAACACAAGGTGCGCACAATCTTTAAACTGAATAAACGCGATCTAAGATATTGGGAGAATTACACAGCTGTTGCAGGAGAAGATGAAGAACATTGTCTACTGCGATGTACCCTGTATCCTTAACATCTACTGGATGTACCCTGTATCCTTAACATCTACTGGATGTACCCTGTATCCTTAACATCTACTGGATGTACCCTGTATCCTTAACATCTACTGGATGTACCCTGTATCCTTAACATCTACTGCGATGTACCCTGTATCCTTAACATCTACTGGATGTACCCTGTATCCTTAAATGTGCATCCTACTGGATGTACCCTGTATCCTTAACATCTACTGGATGTACCCTGTATCCTTAACATCTACTGGATGTACCCTGTATCCTTAACATCTACTGGATGTACCCTGTATCCTTAACATCTACTGCGATGTACCCTGTATCCTTAACATCTACTGGATGTACCCTGTATCCTTAACATCTACTGGATGTACCCTGTATCCTTAACATCTACTGCGATGTACCCTGTATCCTTAACATCTACTGCGATGTACCCTGTATCCTTAACACCTACTTGATGTACCCTGTATCCTTAACATCTACTGCGATGTACCCTGTATCCTTAACATCTACTGGATGTACCCTGTATCCTTAACATCTACTGGATGTACCCTGTATCCTTAACATCTACTGGATGTACCCTGTATCCTTAACATCTACTGGATGTACCCTGTATCCTTAACATCTACTGGATGTACCCTGTATCCTTAACATCTACTGGATGTACCCTGTATCCTTAACATCTACTGGATGTACCCTGTATCCTTAACATCTACTGGATGTACCCTGTATCCTTAACATCTACTGGATGTACCCTGTATCCTTAACATCTAACATCATTCATCACTCAGAAGCCTAAAGTTAGTAGCATTTCTCATCAATCCTGCATCTGCCAAATGTGTTTCAAATGTCAGAGACCAGATGTTATTTTGTGATCCTCGGTATTGCCTATGTAAACACAAGTCACCAAATTAGAAGATACTGTATGTAACTGTATACGTGTCCAGTATGCTCATATGTAAATTGAGTACGTTTACTTCTCTATATAGCAATACGTACTATAACGTGTTTCATGTGTTGCACTAAATATTCAGATACAAGAAAGTCCTGATTTAACTCCCTTTAATTAATAACTTTCTCAGACTTACTACCACTGAAAATTTTAACCTCCTTTTTAGAAATAATGATCCAAATAGTATAGACATTATTTGCTACCACATGTACAACTTTAAACAAATATAGAAGATCTGATTGTTCTGCACATTTGTATTATTATATGTTTTGTTACCATCATCATATATATATATATGAATGATTCATTGTATATCTTGTTTAGGTAGTTTATAGAATATTGCCACTGTTTCTGTTTGGAACGTTTGCACAATAAATATTTGATTTTGATTTGATTTGTTATTATGCCAACTGCTAATGCCTGTGATTACAGTGATTGTACCATTCCTTGGGGGATGTCCCCAACAGTAACCTCTATAATCAGACAGCAGTATTTCTGTGGCGCTGCAAATGCTGTCACCTTCCATCATATTGGTGTGGACATAGCCTTGCTCCAAGACTGTCCTGAATGATATTAAACCCATGGATGCATAGTAATTCTATCCTTAAAGAGGCAAGTCTAGATAAGCGGACAGTACAATCTGTTATTTATATATTTTTCAGAAATGTTCATTTAAACCATTAATTATTACCTTAGAGACTTGTGCAAGTCTAGTGTGGACAGTGTGACCTCGTTAGTCCGGACTCCCTTCAAAACGGGACTAGGACTGTACACAAAAAGACTGAAACTCAACCATGATTCGTGAACACTGACATTTGTTGATCCGTGCGATTTCCCCAAAGCAAGCTGGCCCACCAGTCCCAATCAAAGCCTAGTTTCTTACACTTCTACGACTTTGAGGACACAGTTGCCTCGGGAAGATGGATTAGCATGGGTTCTCAATACCTAAACACACTCAACACACAATGACATAAATTACCTATTTGAACTTTTCAAAATGAATATCCGATATAGAAATTGAGAGTCTTGATGTTAGTGTTCCCTATTGGGAGAGGCCACAGTACCATGTCGTAAGGTCATGACCTTGACATTACTGTTATTACTGCTGCCCATGTAACCCGGTGTACACTTGTGTCGGTATGTTTGTTCATGAATGTTCTGTTCACACAGATTTACCTTTCCAAAGTACAAGTATACCACTGAACACTTCTCGTCGTTGTGTCTGCCTTAAAACACCTGACGATGAATGTCTATTCTCGAACATGCACGTTTCGACCAAGTCAGTGCTAAGGAATGTCAAAGTGGAAACTTTAATGAGAACTACTTTGGACGCGGGTTATACAATTTGCTGATAACAGCCTCTTTAATACAATTTATTATTAGTGATTAGGGAATCAGTTTCCCCGATATATTCCATAACAACACTGAAGCCCCGGGTTATGTTGATAGGGCTCAACAGCAGTGTCGAGTAAAGAGATAATACACACTCTACGCTCCATTACTACCCTGTGAGGAGAAGGTATCAGCCTCGTTACACGGGTCACGCATATGTGACTTCCGGTAATGGAGGCGCTCGGAATCTGGGCCACAATAACGCCTCTCGGGCGGTAAGTGAAGGTCACTGGGAGGGGTGATGAAAGTGTTGTCGTTAGATCACTAATAACTGTGTTAGTAGCAAGCCACAGGCTGTGGATCGCGTTCTATATCAGTTACTGTGATCCCAAGGGGACATAATGTGATGATACTACTTGTAATATAATGTGTCCAGTGGACTATGCTGCACTCACCACCAAACTATTGTAGTAATATAATTATCTGTGACTTAACATGTGAGTGAATGTTAACTCGTCCCAGTAATATTCCAGGCCGATCCCGGTATGTACTTAACCAACTCTGGACCAGACAAACCGGTGACTGTAATCGAGGGAGATAATCCACACCAACAGGGCACGGTGACACGCAGTCCACCAAGTCATGTGACCTCCGACCTCGTCACTCCAGTCGAATGGGAACTTGGTCATAGCCAGGTCTCAACAATGAAGACATATCTCCAGGGATTACTTATTTTGATTATTACTTATCGTAATAACCTATCGATATATCGTCAAATGTTAAAGGTTCCCATAGGTGATTGTGGTCTGATCACTGCATTACTGCTTTTGTGAGTATTTTCTTGTTTCCCTATTACCAATAATATGTAAAATATATACCCAACATGCACTTGTCCCTCGTGCTTGTAACTAACTAGTAAACACTTTAATGGACGTAAAAATATCCTCCTGCATGAGAAGAAACCAACTTTATCTCTGCTATGTTCCTACTTTATCTCTGCGATGTTCCTTCTTTATCTCTGATATCACCTCACCTGGCCGACATCAAGGGCGGCTGTGTACACGCATCTGGTACACGGTACTCGGACATCATCCTTCACAACGTCTAGTAAGTTACGTCAATAAGTACACGCCATATGTAACTTACAACACAGGAGAGCATAGACGTTGAAACCTGTGGCTATCTACATACATCCACACAGCATCAGACAGACCGCACCCCCCACCTCCAAGCCCTCACTCTTTGTTTATCGCGTCCCCCTCTGTGATACATCACGGGCACCCCCGGGGGAGTTTCATCAGTTACAAGGCAGGCGCTACATGTCATTGTAACCTCAGACTGAGGTTGCCGGTATTTGAAACAACGTTTAGGTTCACTCGCAGACTCTTATCACCATGACAACGCCACAAACAAGATATAGAACGCAGACA